CTTTTTTCCCCCAAAAACTTTGCTTTCAAAATAAGGGTGCGTCTTATATTCCGAAAAATACGGTATTTATTAAGCTGGTTAAAGTGCAATCAGTGCTTCCTATTGGATCAAGATGCATATTTAGAGAGAATCAGTACTGCTTACATTATGTATATTTTGTGACACCTTCATTGCACATTGGTGGATAATTGTATTATATACGAACGACCTATTAGGTCCCATGATACCCTTGGAACTCCTTCCTCCATCCACTGTCAATCGTCAACATTCTGTTGACCAACAGTGCGCTTACACTATAACAAGCTTCTGCGAAGGACTGTCAATATTAAACCACATAAAATCGAGTTTCGATACCCGTGGTAGGCAGAGCACAAATGCCCCATTGTGCAGCTTTGTGCTTAACAACAACTAGATCAATCTTACCGCTATAGTTTTAAATTAGTAATTTAGTCTTTAGTCACCTCTACCTTGTGGTGCCATCTGTTGACTTAGTTTAAATACATTTGACATACATGGATATTTTCTATGTATTTGTTGTAATAATGACACTATCCGAAAATCTGTTAATTATTCTGAATTGAAAGCCCAAATGTAAATTTACAATCTTACATTATTAATGAATTATTCACATGCGTAATATTTTGTGTTTTTATTCGAAAATGAAGAAAAGATGTAAACCCTCTGGCAATTACATCAAGGAACTGTACCTAGTTTGATCTGGCTTCTGTTACTAACGTTACCATCGATGTATGTTCTAATCTAAGGAAATGCGTTTAGCATTTGAAGAAGGCTCGTATCAAAATTTGGTTTCTTCGTAAGTCTTTCCCTCCCACTGGTTCTATTCTTATCTACAGTATGTGCATAAATATTCCCATGTATCTACATATAGTTTCTTGTCAAATATTGCATGTTAACCTTAGCTATAAGAATTCAATATCCATTAGAGACAGCTTCTATCAAGAACTAGTTTCTGGTAAAACGGTTACTGTGCACAGTTTTACGAAACAAACGTACAGTCAAACATCTGTGAACCTGTGCATTGTTTTAAGGGTATTTGACACACGAATGTAAATAACATGGCCTCCAATTGGAGGCGTGCTGAAACGTCTTGGACTGGTGGATCCATACTTTCATTCGTGAGTTTGTCACTGTTAGTTGCAGGAAATTATTCTTTACTGCAAATCAAATTTAGCACACACACACACACAGAGAAATAACGAAAACATTTAGATGCGTTCTTCTCTACTGGCTCTAGTAATATTGTATCTTCAAAAGGAAGAAACCTAGAACTTGATATTATCTGTAGTCGTATAGAAAATACATATTATAACATTCTTTCAATAAAAGAAAGAAATGCATTAAAAAACTTTAAAATATGGAAGAGGCTTTCATTCAAAAAGTAATAGATGTAAAGTTTTGTTATCATGGACCATAAGTATTGTGATAATATAGTTCCAGGATATTTAAATGATAAAGAAACTTATAAAGATATGTCCTTGAAAGATATTCCAAAATTTGTTAATAAAGCAAAGGAAGAAAATAAATATTATATTAAAGAATTTAAATATGTATATACTAAGAAAGAAAACGATTATTTGTTGAGTACTCTTAACTGGGAAAATTTTATGTATTACCCAACATTCATAAAAGTAAAGAAGTCAATAAAATTTTAGAAAAAGTTAAGGTGGGATATCTTTGGATAAAGAGTATTCCAGAAAACTCTGGAAGACCAATTATAGGTGGAAAAAACAAGGTGATTCAACCATTTAACTCTAGTTTGTTTGTTTGTTTTGAATTTCGCGCAAAGCTACACGAGGGTTATCTGCGCTAGCCGTCCATAATTTAGCAGTAAAACTAGAGGGAAGGCAGCTAGTCATCACTTGCATATTTTTATTATAAATGTAATTTTTTATTGAATTCATCCATACATTTTAATGAAGAGATAGTAGTTATTTTGTACGTAACGTGTTCATACTTATTTTATAGTTGAGCATTTGCAATCGGAAGTGTACTATCTTGAAAGAAGAATAACTGAGGAACAAAACATTACAACGTTCAATGGTTTTCAGTCTATTCTGATAAATAAACGGGCAAGATTTGACAATATATATATATATAATAAAAAAATAAATATGTATACATCATGGAATACCGAAAACCGCCATTTTCCCTAACCAGTAAAGCTGGTACTCGCCAACAGATGGAGCATTCCCAATAAAAATTCTTCATTACTCTCTTCACTGATAGTTGAGATACAAAACGTGCTAACCTTTGACCGATGACGTAGCGTCACGAGGTAGTAAATCAAGAAATAATAACTCATTCTAAT